CTTTTTTGAGGTGAGTTTTTCCTTCTTGTCATTCTGTCCAGAGAATAGATGAATGAGAGAACAAAATACTAAAAGGGCAACAAGGACCCCAGAGAAATATACACTAAACAAATCAGAAGAGACCCGAAACTGGCGGAAAAAAGAAAAAAAAAAATCAGATGAGCAGAATAGAGCTATACACTGGATTCTGTGTGTATTTTGGTCTGTTTTTTAGAAAACTAGATCCCAAAATTGTAAGGAAAGAAAAACTTGTATATGTATAAAAATAAAATTAAATACAATGAAAGGATAGAATATAACTATAAAAATGGAAATTAAAAAAACAAGAAAAAGAAAAAAAAAGGAAGGGATATAAATGTGAACAGAACAGAACAATACACTATCTTTGGGTGTATTTTGGTCAGTTTATTAGAGGAAGCCACATCTCAAAATTGTAAAGAAATAAAAATTTATATATACAAAAATAAATACATTGAGAGGATAGAATGTAACTGTAAAGATGAAAATTTAAAAAGACTTTAAAAAATGAAAAAAATGAGAAAAAAAGAATATGATCAGGTATCTTAATAGAACAGAGCCATACAATAGATTTTGGGTGTATTGGTCTGCTAGAAGAAACTGTATCCCAAAATTTTAAAGAAAGAAAAACATATATATACAAAAATAAGGTTAAATACAATGAAGGGATAGAATATGATTGTAAAAATGAAAATTAAGATTTTTTAAAAGGAATTGGTAAGTTGGTTGGAAAGGGAAAGAAGAAAAATTTTAAAGAAAAAAATAAAATTAAAAAAATTAAAGTTGAAAGACTAAAGAATCATGGGGAAAAAGCTATGAATTCTATGTGCAGTATTCCCCTAGCACTGGAGTTCTGCCGTTCTCATTGATCGGTACTTGGTCTTGGCTGGCTGTTCTTGCTGATCTTCTGGGGGAGGGGCCTGTTGCCAAAGTTCCCAAATGTCTTTGCTGGAGGCAGAATTGCCCCACCCTTGCTGAGTCCGGGCTAAGTAATCTGCTCAGGTTTGCTCTCGGGAGCTTTTTTTCCCTGCAAGGTTTCTGTACAGCTTTGGAGGACAAGAGTGAAAATGGTGGCCTACCAACCTCTGCCCCGGGGGAGCTGAGAACTCAGGTCCCCACTCCTCAGTGCGCCCCCAGAGAAAAGCAGTCAGTCACTCCCATCTCCCTGGTCTCCAGCCGCACTCCGTGCACCCGGCCTGTGACTGAGCATTTCTGCCTCTGGCACCCGACCCCGTGTGGAGTCCCCAAACCCAGCAGATCCCTGCGGTGCACTCCCGTGCTGCTCCTCCCTGGAGGAGGAAGGGGAATCTCCCCGGATCTGCCACTTATTTGGTCCCTGCTGGAAGAGCAGTGGCCCGACTGTGTCGTGGATCATGGTTTATGGCATCCCCGAGCTGAGAGCCCACTCCTGGGCTCTGTCTCTGCAGCCGGCTTCCCCGCTCTGATACCTGGGAGCTCTGCCGCACTCAGGCACCCCCAGTCTTTCTGTGACCCCGAGGGTCCTGAGACCACACCGTCCCAGCGAGGGTTCCACCTCCTGCTTAGCCACCTGAGTGACCTCCCTCAGCGGAGCCAACTTCTAAAAGTTCCAATTTTGTGCTCTGCTGCTCTATCACTTGCCAGTAGCCGGCTGAAGAGGCTCCCTCCCCCCACAGTCTATATTCCCATATGTCGCCTCTGATTCACTTCTCCGCACGTCCTACCTTCCAGAAAGTGGTCGCCTTTCTATTTGTAGAGTTGCAGGTATTCTTTTCTTCGATCTCCAGTTGAGTTTGTAGGTGTTCAGAATGATCTGATAGCTATCTAGCTGAATTCCTGGGACCCGATGAAATTAAGGTCTCCTCCTCCTCTGCCATCTTGGACTCTTCTCGGTGTTAATTTTTCTTTAAATATTTGGTAGAATTCTCCAGTGAAGCCATCTGGTTTGGGGATTTCCTTGTTGAGAGGTTTTTGAGTACTCCTTAAATCTCCTAACTAGTTACATAGTTGCTTGGATTGCCTGAACTGATTTCCTATTTTTTCATCATTCAGTTTTAGTAGATTGGGAGTGTCTAGGAATTTATTTTGCCTAGGTTATCCAGTCTATTGGTGTACCATTGTTCATTCTCTTATCCTCTTTATTTCTGTGGTTTCAGTTGTAATGTCTACTCTCCCATTTACAATTTTATTTCTGTAAAGTCAGTTGTAATATCCCCTTTCATTTCTGTTAGTTATTTGAGTCTTTTTTTTTTCTTAGTCTAGGTGAAGTCAATTTTGTTGATCTTTTCAAAGAACCAACTCCTGGTTTCATTGATTTTTCTTTACTGTTATTCTCTATTTCATTTATCTTTGCTCTAATCCTTAGTATTTCCTATTTTCAACTAGCTTTGGGTTTAGTTCTCTAGTTATAAAGTTGGGTTATGATTTGAGATCTTTATTCTTTTTTAATGTAAGCATTTATAGCTATACATTTTCCGCTTAGCACTGCTTTGACTACATCCCATAAGTTTTGGTATGTTGTGTTTTCATTGTCATTTATCTGAAGATATTTTCTAATTTCCCTTGTGACTTCTTTTCCGACCCATTGGTTAAGAGTATGTTGTTTAATTCCCACATATTTATGGATTTTCCAATTTTCATTCTGTTGTTGATTTCTAGTTTCATTTCAGTGGGAACAGGAAAAACCGTTTGTATGGCTTCAGTCTTTTAAAATTTATTCAGACTTGTTTTGTGGCCTAACATGATCTCTTTTGGAGAATGTTCCATGTACAAGAAAAATGTGTACTTGGGCGCACCTGGGTGGTACAGTGGGTTGAGCGCCAATTCATGGTTTTAGTTCAGGTTGTAGTCTCAGCGTGGTGAGATTGGGCCCCGCGTCGGATCGGGCTCTACATTCAGCACAGAGTCTGCTTGGGTTTCTCTCTCCCTCTCTCTCTGCGCCTCCCGTGTGCTCTCTCACTCTCTCTCTAAAATAAATCAATCTTTAGGGGGAAAAATGTGTATTTTGATTTTGTTGGGTGGAATGTACTATATGTCTTTTGGGTCCAGTTGGTCTGTTGGGTTGTTCAAGTACTGTTCTCATTGCTCTTCTTTCTGTTTGTTATATCCATAGGTGGGGTATTAAAGTCTACTATAATTGCAGTTGTTTTTTTTCTTCCACCAGTTCTGTCAGTATTTTTAGGAACTGATGTTTGGTGCATATATAATTGTTATAATTCCTTGGTGAATTGAGCATTTTATTATATAATGGCCTTTTTTGTCTCTCATAACTTTTGACTTAAAGTCTATTTTGTCTGATATTATAGCCACCCCTGTCCTCCTCTGGGTACCATTTGCATGCAGTATCTTTTTTCATCCTTTCAGTTTTCAGTATATGTCCTTAGATCTAAAGTGAGTCTCTTGTAGACAGTATACAGTTCAATCTTGTTTTTTAAATCCAATCTAGGGGAAGTTTAATTTATTTACATTACATTAATTTATTTACATTTATTTACATTACATTTCAAGTTATTACTGATGGGAAATAACTTCCTATTATCATTTTGTATTGTTTTCTGTTTGTCTTAAAGCTCTTTTGTCTGTTTTGTCTAATTTCCTAGGAATCTCAGCCCTGCTTCTTCTCAGGGCTTTAGATGTTGTATTTTACTCCTCAATAAATAATCCCGATAATCTCTTGCCCCTAGGCATTCATGGTTCTGCAGAACCCCTCTAGGCCCCATGTGCAGCAGTTCCCACTACTGCTTCCAGCAGCCTCCAACCTGATATATAAACTGTGCCACCATTCCATCAGTGCTCTGAGTCAGGCGAGACAGTCCCTCAAGCATTCCCCAGACAAGTCAGAACATTACAAGCAAGTTCTACTCTTCTTTCTACAAATTGAAAGTCTTCCTTCCATTATGCCAGGAGGGTAAGGGTAAAGGATGAGCATAAATGCCATGAAATTTCCTATCATTTTGAATGTGGCTATTTCTTGGTTAGGTGTTTGCTTAGTTGTTACTGCTGCTTAATTGGCTTCTATACTTCTCACAACACTACATTGTATCTTCACTGTTTCCATGTATGTTTGCTGGGGGACAAGGGCCTGAACTTCCTAATCTGCCATCTTGGTGACATCACTATCAATTATCTTTTAAAGAGATTTATTTAAAAAAGAAGGCTGATATTTATGTTATTATTTCTGGTACCTTTTTTGTATGTGTATGTAGATTCAGATTTCCTTCTGGTATAATTGTCCTTTTGCATAAAAGGCATCCTTTAACATTTCTTTAAGATCTTCCTATACTTAAATTCTACTGACCTGTCAGAGTTCACTGGTCCTTTTTCTGCATTGTCCAGATTGATGCACAGTTCATTCAGATAATCTCCCTTGTCAGGCCTGTGGCTGAATTCTCTGCTCAGCTCTTTAGACCACAGCTGTTGTCTTTCATGTGTTTCTAGGGGTCTCACCCTGCACATGGGGTATTTGGGGTATTTAGGTGTCTGCCAAGGATTTGAGGGAATTTTGAGGGCTCCATTCTTTCTATGATTTCTACCACCCTGGCAACCCTGTTGTCTTATTCCTCAGACCAGGAAGACTGCTACTTTTTCCTCAAGGTCTGTCTCCTGTGAACCCATGAAGTAGAAAGTGCTTTCAGAAGTCATCTGAATGTGGACTTCAGCCAGTATATTTCCCTTTTTTCAAGGATCATATCACCTCCAGTTTCTGCTTACTACTGATTACTCATCTATACTTTCAAGTATGTTTTTGCTACCCCCAGAAGAGTTGGTCTACTGCAAACTGCCATTACTGCAATTAGAATTATTTCTAAAATGTTTAAAATCTGTGAGACATGAGCATCATTAAAAGTTATCAATGTTAAAGTTATTCAGTAATGCAAAGAATAAAATTTATAAAATTTTGTATTTCAGTTAAAGATAGTTATTACTAATGTGACAGTATTTTTTATAATTTTTTCCAATAAAGACTGATGACTATATGGGATTTTTCTTTTTTCTTTTTGCAGGATATAGCCAATGAGGAACACAAAAAAATTGAAGCATTAAAATCAGAAAACAAGAAGCTAGAAAAACAGAAAGGAGAATTAATGATAGGGCTCAAGAAACAATTAAAATTAATTGATGTTTTAAAAAGGCAGAAGGTGAGTCTATCCTTAAAAAATAGTTAAATCATAGATGTTATTTGGGCTGCTCTACTAAAAGTTATTTGTACTTTATATATAAATCTTATTATGTATTATTATGTATGTTATATAGATAAAATTTTGTGCCTGAGCATGTCAAAATAAAAAACATATCTAAAGTGTCATCCAAGCTAGAATTCGAGTACACATTCCAACAGAGCTTATTAATTTGACAGCATATTTATACACACACTTTTATTGATTTCCTGTTGTTCTGTGGTCTGCTCTTAATACTAAAACAATATTGATTTGTTACAAATGCAGATGCATATTGAAGCTGCCAAGATGCTGTCTTTCACTGAAGAGGAATTTATGAAGGCAATTGAATGGGGAAATTCATAAATGATCTACTTTATAATTAAAGTATACAGACTTTGTATGTATAACTGTATGATCCATATACATTTTATTTAACTATAGTTTTAATGATTTATTTTTACTCTTTGTAAGTAATGAAGATATTTGGTAATGAAATCAAAGCAATTCCAGTGAATTCCCTGTTCAGATTTAGGGGATACAAAATTGATATGTAATTATTATAAAAAGGTAATATTTTGTAAAATAATAGGATTTAACTTTTGATTCTTATGACCCACTTGCCCTCTAATGTAAAGTACTTTATGTTCTGGAGATTCAGCTCTAGTTCATAAATGATAAAAACAGAATTTCTATCAATCACATAAATTTTTTATTGACAATAAAGCACTTTGAAATTCCTCACTCTATTCTCTTTCCTTATAGTAGAAAGAAAAAGATACTTTGGCTGGCCAAATCCCAGAAGTAAAGTTAAGTTCCTAAAACACAAATACCGATGGAACTGTAGTCTGAATGGCAATGCAGAAAAAGCTCTGAGCAGCAGGAGTAGTATGGAGAAGTTAGTCTCCTGGGTTTGGCCTCTAATGTATTTATATTTATATGGACTGTTGTGATGTGGTGTAGAACTCAGATCTTCAAATTATCATCAGTACAAGAACGAGTTTAACTAAAAGCAATTAATTTTGTAGCTTAATTTTTTATCAGAAAAATATTATGAATTACAGAGTCACTTTAGAAAATCTAAATAGATTATGGATTTAGTAAAACAAAAGTTACAGTGACATCTAGTGGTAAAAACAATCCAGGTTTTACCAAATCTTGGTGTCACTTCTGATACACTTTCCGAAACTCTTCACCAAGCATATCGATATCATCCTCTTTTTTAAATACTCCCTACAAGAAAAATATTTTGTGGGTTACTTCAAATGCCAGAGTATTTCACCAAATGCTTGTAAGACTAACTATAGACTACACGTTGGTGAAATTATCTCCAAGATAATGAAATCTATTTAATACGTTTATGAAAAATATCACTGTTCTCTAAAATTATGACTCGATATGTATACTGAATATTCTTTGATCTCCTGACTTATCTATCAGCTCCAGTATAAGAATTTGTAATAGGAATCTTGGCTCTTCTACCTTACTATTGCAGGTCACCACTGCTAGGACTGGCTGAATGAGAAAGATTTTAATAAGGTCAGGGTGAAGGGACTGGCTCTTGCCTCCTTCCAGGGCTGATCAGCAAACCTTCAATCTTGCAGGAAAGGCTCCAGGTTTGGAGTTACGCCATTTAAGCAAGCCCTTTGAAATTCTCCATGCTTTTATTTACTTTTCTCTTATAAAAGGCTGTTAAATATTTACTTATATAATTTAAAGGAGCTAAAGAATAATTTAGGTCATTTGGGGCTGTATCAGGTTTGTTAGGCTCTCCCCATCTCCACAATTATTTACTTTTAAAAATATCTAAATCCCAAACTCTCCAGAATTTATAGTCTTTTTAAAAAATTAATACATCACTTGACTATAACATCCTGTGGACAAGCAATAATTACTCATTTCCCTTTTTCCTTCCTTAGCACTGCACTGAAAACAAAGTACGCATTTGATTCTTCCAAATCAATCAAATGACATTTCTATATCTGAAGGATGGAAATTTTATTTACATGCATCCAGATGTTTATATGGCTTATGAAACTCAATTGTTATTCCATTTAGAGTCAGAATGTATCTCACACATGAAAATGTTATCTTTTGGAAGTACTTTTAAAAACAGGTTACCTAGTACTTATTTATAACCTCCCATTAGAAAGCAGATCTGTCTGGGACTCGTTCAAGCACATGTCTGTTAGCAGTGTTACCAATTACAAGATTTTCCTGTATGTCATCAGCTTTAGTGTACAAAGTATCACTACTGCTTTAGGGTACTTTAGTTTTAGACTTCCAAAATTTAAATTCAGGAAATCTAGCTCATACTTCTAAGAATGTGCCAAGACCAACTCTCTCATTTTAAAGACAGGTGTCACTGACTGCCTAAGATCCCACTACTGCTTTTAACAGCCAGAAGTAAGTGAAACCCAGGCCCTCTGAAATCCTAATTAGCATGTATTTTCCCCACTATTGGAGGTCAGGAAGATTATACCTTGAGTTAAATCTCACTTACTTTAGGGAGATATCCTAGTAATTTTGTAGCATGTTCTTTGAGAAGTTTTAGTCTTTCTTCTTCAATAATTGCATTAATACACCCTTGTCTTCTTTGCTGCAACTGCCATTCTTCCAGTTCACGTTGCTGGAAATGTAAATAAAATTTTATTGTCACAGAATACATTAATCTTTTAAGAAGTCATCAAAACTATTCTCGCAGTGAATTAGATAAAAGTGATGAACTATTTTTGATGCTAACTTCAGAAAATACTATATAGTATATATATCTTTTATATTTATTATATATATAACATATCTCTTTTACAGTCACTGTTCCCTTGAAGTTACAAAAACAATAGTCATGGGTGCCTGGGTGGCTCAGTCGTTAAGCGTCTGCCTTTGGCTCAGGTCATGATCCCAGGGTCCTGGGATCGAGCCCCAGATGGGGCTCCCTGCTCAGCGGGAAGCCTGCTTCTCCCTCTCCCACTGCCTCTGCATGTGTTCCTGCTCTCGCTGTGTCTCTGTCAAATAAATTTTAAAAATCTTTAAAAAAAAAAAACCAGGGGTGCCTGGGTGGCTCAGTCATTAAGCGTCTGCCTTTGGCTCAGGTCATGATCCCAGGGTCCTGGGTTCAAGCCCTACATCGGGCTCCCCGCTCAGCAGGAAGCCTGCTTCTCCCTCTCCCCCTGCTTGTGTTCCCTCTCTCGCTGTGTCTCTGTCAAATAAATAAAATCTTAAAAAAAAAAAAAGCAATAGTCATGCCTGGGATTTCAGGGAGGCAAGTATATATTTTTAGGACAATATCTTCTTTACCAAGGAAAAAATTTTCAAAGAAAGGATTTCCTAATTAATTCACATATTTTTGTAATGTTTACCATATGCCAAGTGCTGAAGGCAGCTTACAGTGTAAAACAAAAGCTGGATAAAACAGAATAGGGATATCTAAAAGGTAAATATTTCCATATATGTTAAGATTTTTAAGAGCCTGTATGAAGCACAAGAGTAGCAGCAAGAGTTCCAACAGAAGAACCAGTGTTTCTCAGGAGAGAGTTCTGAATGCTCTTATATAACCACACCAAACTTCTGTGCCATATACTATGGAAGAGAGGACCAGCTTTAAAAAATTTTAGGGCTTAGAGGCGCCTGGGTGGCTCAGTTGGTTAAGCAACTGCCTTTGGCTCAGGTCATGATCCTGGAGTCCCAGGATCAAGTCCCACATCGGGCTCCCTGCTCTGCAGGGTGTCTGTCTGCTTCTCCCTCTGACTCTCCCCCCTCTCATGCTCTCTCTCAAATAAAAGCTTTAAAAGAATATTTAAAAAAAAAAGTTCTAGGGCTTAAAAGAACTCTTAAAGAGCTGTACCCAAATAATCCTATTGGAAAGGGAAGGGTGCTAAAGGCAGACCATTGAAGCAGTAAATTCCTACCTAGAATTAAAGTAGTATTAATGTTAAGCTTGTCTTTGCAATAACTATAGTTTCTTAGGGTCATTTCTTCAGACCACTCCTTGTCAAAGTCTTGCAAACTAGAAAAGAGTATGTCTATTTTTCTACAATGGGAGGCAAGCTTTTACATAACTTAATAACTCTTCATAGTTACCAGATGAAGCTAAAGAAGGATGCTAGGACACAGCCATATCCAATGCCACTTAAACCTGTAATTGCTTCTCATAAGAATATTTTGTAGACTATGATATGATCTGCATTACAGAATCAGAAGCAGCATTGATACAGCTAATTGAGAAAAGACACTCTCACCCATCTTGTTCCTGAATCAAAGAGTTGAGTGGATCTTATTTATGTTATCTCTAAGATCAAATAGGGTAATAGAATCTGCCATGGAATCGTTATACCTGAATTTTTTTTTTATTCTTAGTTAATCCCCATACATTACATCATTAGTTCTAGATGAAGTGTTCCACGATTCATTGTTTGTGCATAACACCCAGTGCTCCATGCAGAACGTGCCCTCCTCAATACCCACCACCAGGCTAACCCATCCTCCCACCCCC